TCTTTGCTGTCCCCGAGGATGATGGTATTGAGTCCATCTCCATCTTAGGTTGAGAATCAGGGGCAAACAAGGTAGCATTTGAAGAGCTCGGTGTATCTTCATCACCAGCCATTTGATCTGTGTTCTTGGTAATCTCAGTAGATACAATACTCTGTTTAGAACAATTACAAGATTTTGCTGCATTAATTCCATCCTTCGGCAGCTCTGCTTCCTTTGATGATAAACCCTGCAACACATTGGAGCATCATGGAAAATATAAAGAATAAATGAAGGGTGATATCTGCATCATGGAACAGGGATACAAGCATAATGTCGAATATTAAGTAGAAAAAAAGCCATCAAATAGTCAAATGAACATTCACAAAAAGCATGACTGACAATATGAAATGAATTTTTTTAAAAAAAAAGTAATCTAAATCTTACACCCAAAAATGAGTGGCTATCAAAAATGAGTAGCTTGGCCCCATAATAGTTGGCAAGAGCCTTTGCTAGCATCTCTTGATATATCTCTGAACCTGCAGCAACATTTCCCAAGGGAATTCAAGTATTATTAGGAATATAGACAACGGATTCTCAAACCTTTACTACCAAGAGGCAGAGGGAGAGAAACTAACCAGCAGGACCAGAAAGTAGAATTCGTGGATTCACCGTATTTAATTCTGATGTATACTTCGAATGTTCTTTATGCTTCAAGTGTATGAAAGAAGCGGAAATAAGCACATTCTTCGTATTCTCACTGCAAAAAGCAAATAAAGTTGCTAAAATTTCATACGTGCATATGAAAATGTTAGAAAGTCTTATTGGGATTGGTTTAAGTTAGTCAGTGTTCATCAATATCTTAAGATTAGTTCAATATTGAAAATGGGTTTGTTTAGTTCAATATTGAAAATGGTAGTTTAGTTGCAAATAAAAGTTCAATAATGTATTTCATGTTTTTTTAGAGTTAATGTACATCATCCTCCCTTACAAGCTCAATTTGGTGCCTCCTGAATTACTTATTTCTCAGATCAACAGAAGCTCAGAAAATCCACAATCCAATTTTTATCAACTCAATGGTCTCTTCTCATGTGCCATTTACATATCAACTAGTATGTCCCCCTTGATACAAGATGCTTCATTTTGATGAAGGATACCCAACAATGAAGCACGTCACACTATTTTGACCAGAACAATGGCATACACATACCAATTGTGAAACTCAGGCGTGTGTCTATGAAGTCTCAAAAGGAAAAAAAAATGGATGCGTCCAAACATGTGATAAACATTCTAGACATCTTATATAAAAGAAAGAAAGCTTAAAGCTGACATAGAAATGGTAACTTAATAACACATCAATTAAAACCACATATGAAGTACAAAACATGTAATAATGGAATGTGTACCTCAAATAATATGGAAAGTTCTCAAATGAAACCTCTAAGTCCCTTCCATCAACAATCCCCGCATGAACGTCTTCTTTAAATGCTGCACACCGCAAAGACATTCCCGAGGTTGATGCTGGCTGCAACTCCCCAATCCACTGGTTTCTTTCTTCCATTACCTGTTTACAGATACTTTTGCTCAATTTCAGTTTACAACTAGTTGACTGAGCTAACATCCTGAACAAAGGCCCTATCAAATCATTCACCCCAGAGAGTTTTACATTGCCTGCCTCTATGACAGCGTCTGGATTGGAGCCGGGATGAAGATTCCTGTTAGTTGTGCTTGAGTCTACAGCTTTATCATTTCGTACTTCTGGATTTGAGTTGGCTTCAAGAGCATCAATGTCAAGTTCCATTGCATCATGAACAACAGAATTAGAAGGTAGTTCAGCACCTTGGTGTGTTTTACTGCTGGTCTGAGAAGGAGGTTTCCAACGTGATATATCCTCTCTGAGGCTTGAAAGAGAAGCCAAAATCGAGGCCCCAGCCACAGCAGAAGGATCGCCAGTCCTCTTTCCGAGCTGCAAGAATTTTCCAACACCACTCTGAACCTCTAAACCTTTAACTGAAACATCATTCATAAGTTGCTGAAATATCTATATTGGTGGAAATCAAGAAAAATGTCACATTCATTGAAAGGAAATGAGCAAAAATTTGTTAGATGGAGAATGATATTCGATAAACAATATATAAAACAAAACAACAAAAAATGAAATGATCTGATAATTGAAGGATACATAAGCATGGTTCCCCAAAGCACCGAAGACCACCTCGTCACCAGAATTAAGCACACAGCTGGTGTTCCTCTTGACTGCCAACCCATTAACCATCACTGATCCCTTGCCTCCCGTACTTTCAAGCACAGCTACAGTACTACCCTCACGCTGTTCACCCCCAGAGTAAAAGTACAACCAATTATTCATAGTTTATTAACAGGTACCAAAAAAATGGCAGTATGAAAATGTCTAGGCACTTGAGAACGCTCTATTTTAATTAATTAAAATAAATGTTCTACAGTAAGTACGCTTGACATCAACTTCTTCTTTCTATACTTGATGACCTAAAGAGACTTTTGAATAGGAGCACTTCGAAGTTACCTGAGTGTGCTTGATCTTGCAAAGTGTCCCACTAATTGTGTGATCCTTCAAAGGAAAATTGCAACCTCTACTAGAACCAATGGTAAAATGTGACGAGAAAATATCAACATTGGAGTTCTGCATTTAAAACATATCTCAAAATCCCATAGATGGAGTCCACAGAATACTATAAATCATAAACTTAGTAAGAAATGAAGCTGTATATCGGTGGGAATTTAATTCGACTTGGATCTATGATTCGCGACTCCAAAACTGATAAACAAGAACCAAATGATACGTTTCGACTTCTTGAATGAGCATTGAATTACCTGACCGAACTCTGAGAGAAGCCTACACCAAGGAGTCGTCGTCTCAAAACTTGTATTCTGCTTCGAAGCATAGTGACTCCAAGATGAAAAAGAAGTCCTAGGCCTATCCCCTACCAGTGAAGTTCCTTCAACATAAGAAACAAACCAAATCAAACCCAAACGTCCAAAGCCACACTTCACACAACATTCTTATCTTCAATCAATCAAGACTAAAAATTACAACCCATTAAACCTTGGGAGTACGAACCACCTACCCTCTGCGATAGGAGTGGTAACAGCGACAGCCGCTGGTGCAGCATCCTCCTTCAAAGAGCTCACACCTTCTCCAGCATCAACTCCGACGATCGGACCACCGCCAGGTCCATGATCTCCAGGATCCACAGTCGGCGGGGTACACAATTCCTTAGAATTCTCCGCCGCTGGCATCGATTTCTCTGAACCACACCCATTTTCCACCTGAAACCCAAAATCTCTAAACAAATCAAGAACCAAAACTCCAATAATCGCTCCAATAAAAACTCAATACTACCCAAAACAACAAAGACTCATAGATTCTACTCATCAGACATCAACCTTTTGACGCTTCGGCGACGATGGCTTCTCCTCCGACGACGAAGATCTCTTGCTATTGCTACCAGAGAGAGATCCACTTCTTCTCGTTGAAACCATGACTCTCTTCTGGGTTCCCCTTTTTCTTTCCCCTTTCTTTCCCCTCCGATTTCCTATCTGTTTATGGACGCGACCAAATTTAATTGAAATGTCAAATTTTTTATATTATTTTAAAATTAAATTAAATAAATAAATTTCGGCGTTAAAAATTAAAAAATATTGCATGGAGAGATTCATTCAATACCCCGTTATCACAACTTCAACCATTTCGTTACGGCGTATTATTCACTTCACCGCGCATTTTAGCTACTTTTCTTTAATAAGCACCATTTTAATATGCGCATTTTAGCACTGTTCTTTAACAAGAGTTTGGTAGCGTAGTTTAGCCGTGATTTCCGTTTTGCTAACGTCCGCCCTACACGTACGAAACGTTTGTATGGTAAGGAGTTTCATGAAAATACAAATTTCATCAACTTTCCATTTTTAAATATATTCTCTACTTTTTATTTCAATTATCACTTTTTTTTTTCTTTTTTAATATTCCACACGTGTGAATAGTAATTTAATTATTATTATTATTATTATTATTAAGAATAAACACAAAAGAAAAGTACACAAAAATAATTATTTATTTTCTTTTTGTACTTTGAATTTATTCAATAACTATATTTATTGAAATTAAATATTGCATTTAAATTAAAAAAAAATTAAGGGTATTAATAAAAAAATTAATTTAATTATATTTTTTAAATATTATTAAAATATAACCAGATAAGTTTGAAATGAGGTTGGTAAGGATATTTTTATTTTATTTTATTTAGAAAAAATATATATAAATTCTAGAGTGCTTTTATTAATTTTGTCATTGGTTTAATTAATACTTTTCCAACCCCTAATAAAAATATTTTCATAAGTTCAAATAAATTATTAATCAACAAATGTTACTTTCGTCATAGAGGTTTGCACGATCAAGTATCAACTTAGTGTAGAACTTGTATAATGGTGTACTTATCCGGTTTAAACCGTGATTTTAGTGTTTAATTTGACTTTTCTTAATATTGATATTTAAAAAAATATATAATCTTAAATCAAATTGTTCCGTCACAAAATTCATGAAAATTGTTGGTATTTTAAATTTTTAAAAGGTTATAAATTATTAAAAAAAAAAAGTTTAATTAACATTCTCAATAATTAAAATATATATATACATGTTAAACCTTTTTTTAAAACTTAAAACTAAAATTAAATAATTCAGAGATAATTTATGAAGCGTTTTTGTTGATTTTTCATATATTAAATATAATAATTTTTTATTTATACTATTTTTAAAATTTCATAGGTGTTTTGATTCTAGTTTTTTTTTTTTTTTTAACCGAAGTTATTAATTAAAATTTTAAATTTTAACAATATTTTTGAAATAAAATAGTAAGAGTATTATTAAATAAAAATAAAAATTTTAAGTTTTTTTAGAAAAAAAATATAAAAATTTTAAGAATCCTATAAATAATATATTTTTTTTCCGATAATGGGCCTGTGCCAAGTCGCCCGCTCGATGTCATTGGGCTTCTTCTCTGCGGTTAATGTTCAACCACACGCAGACTTACCTGAGAACGACGAGAGATTTCACTGGTGCGCAGTTGTTGTTCAAGGACCGGTGAAGGAGAAGGGAGGAGGAGGGGGAGGAGGAAGAAGAAGAAGAGCTCGTAAGTCATGCCGAAGAGAACGACGCATACATACTCCAGCGAAGACGCCGCACCAGATGGACCAGACTCTGATCTCTTCGTTTACTATTGCAAGCACTGTGGATCGCACGTCTTAATCACTGGTACTCTTTCTCCCGGACTTCTGCTTCTGTTTCTTGTGCATTTAAAGCTTGTCGAGAATCAAATAGGAAAAGATCAATTACTTGAATGTGTAGTTAACAGCTAGAGATGATTTAGAAGGTTTTTTAATATCTGGACTGCGTGCAACTCGATGAAAATGTTTGTTCTATTCGAAAGACGGATTTAATCTATTGTAGTTTTTGTCAAAATTAAGCTGGAATGAGGAAATTCGGCTGCACTCTGTGCTGTATTCATGCTGACTTGGTTTCTTCTTTGTGAATTAGAATTTATGAACTAATGACCAGGATTACTTTATTTTTCTCTCCTAGCTATCAATCCAAGAAATAAGCATTTTGCTTGATTTTAACCGTTCTAATCATACATATGCTATAAGATACTCAATTGCAGAAAATGCCAAAAAGGAAGACGGACAAGGCTTTTGCGTTGGACAAGAAGAAGCATCTTGCAAGGTTAAATATCAATGAGGCGGGAAAAGTTCTACTAAAAAGGTAACTTTAATCTTTCTACGTGTGTATCAATCTTTGTGTGTTAAGCTTATGTGTTGATGAAGGATGCGAATAAATTTGCGTTAGAGATGGTCCAAAATTCAAGTTACATGCAAGATCTCGCCCTCACCTGATTGTATGTCTGTTCTTTAGATGGTCTAAAACTGATATTTTTTGAGGGGATGTAACCAATTTGAAGTTCATGACTATATTAACAAATTCAGGTTCAACATAAGGTCAGATTTGTTCTCCGACATTGCTCATTAAAAACTATGTGTAACTAGGCCCGATGAAAATACTCATTCTATCTGAATGATGGATGTAAACTTGCAATCTCTTTCTGTTTAATTGGTTAAACAAATCATGAGTCAGGAAATCTAGGTGTACTATGTGTAGCATCTGCATGTGGAAAGATGATCTGGCCAAGTTTCCTATGCCTTCTTCTCGAAGTACGGCACCGGAAACAAAAAGAATAAACATGAGATTCATAATTTGAAAAGAGGAGAGTTTGAGGCATGCATCTTTTTACATGCTAGTCATCTGTAAGAGCTATGAGTCAGAACAATATCCACCAACAATATCCACCAAGTCTTCCTGAAATATAAAACGACAACCACATTCCGGAGTGGCCTTTACCTATCTAGGGGCAATTGCTGATCTCAGTCAAAATAGAGTCTAAATGATGGGAAAATATGGATACTTGTTGAACTAAGTAATATGTTGCTTATAATTATTTTTCAGGGGTGAAGGGAAACTTGAAAGGCAATTCCGTATGAACTGTATAGGTTGTGGACTCTTCGTGTGCTATCGCTCCGAGGAAGAATTGGAATTTGCTTCTTTCATTTATGTTGTTGATGGTGCACTTAGTACAGTTGCTGCTGAAACCAATCCACAGGTATTTTACCGGTCTACTATAATAAGGGCTTCCACTATCCATTATGCATTGCTCATATTGCTGGTTTTTTTACCGTAATCATCTTCATATTAACAATGGAATAGACTTTCAATCCATTATTGTTTTCGTTTTAACAATGGAAATTTTATTTTTCACAATAAATCTTTACAATTCTGAGTTCCTTTCTTGAAAAATATCTCAAATGTGAAGAAATAACGAATATGTTGCTGTTATGCTTCGCAATGGGGAAAAAAATTACATAATAACAATGTTCATGAGTTGGTTGGCCAACACTCATCGAATTATGTATAATCTTTCTTTAGTGCCAGATAGAAATTTTTTTGAATATTTTATTACCATTTTAAGAATCGATTATGTGCAGTTTATTGGTATCTTGAGCTTTAGTTGACTCCTGGTGGACATTGCATATAGTACGACTTCTTAAAAAATGGGTTCCAATATCTTATTATTTTGATAGAATACAGCGTTCTATTATATTATTGTAAAAATCACTGAAATGAAAATGATGAAAGGTCTTATGAGTTCTTACCTTATTATTTCTTGATGCACATACAACAATAATATTACTGTATGATACTTTCTATACAAAGATGTTCCAATATTTATTGTGATTTGTAAACAACCACATCAATTCTCACTCAATAAACAACTATATTAGGATGCTCCCGTGCCTCCCTGTATATCTCAACTTGAAGGAGGACTGGTCCAAGTGGCCATAGAAGTTGAAGATCGAGCACAGCGCTCAGCAATTACAAGTATAAAACATATAATTGCTGTGATATATCTTTATGCATGTAGTCTTTATTTGTAAGCTTGAATTCAACTATAATTTTGTTAAAGACATAATGTAAAGGTTCTTCATCATTGCATGCAGTCTCTTTATCTGACATCTTAGCATGGGTTTGTGATTCAAATAATTGTAATTAGATAAATCCTTTGATGATTTATATTTGTTATTGTGTAACAAGAAGAAAATGAGAGGTCAAATTCTGGTACGTAAGATAAGAGTAAAGACTCCAAGAGTTTTATTTCAAAACTATGACTATATAACAGTATCGATGAAGGACTGGAACAATTTTTGTTATTGAAAGCTAGCTCATTGGCATACTTTTACTAGTTAAAGAGAAACAAAATAAGTTGTTATTTCACATTTAATATTATTTTTCTTGATTATAGACACAAAAAGATGATATATTTTCCTTTTACAGGAGTAAATGCTGATGATGTACGTGTTGCTGTTGCTGCACCTCAAGCGCGTGGAGAAGCCAACAATGAGCTTTTGGAGTTCATGGGAAAAGTATGTTCTGATTATATGTTTTTGGCTTTGGATCTTCAATATCTGCTTGATTTCGCGTCCTGTTTGAGATTCTGCAAGAACTTGAGCCACTTTTTTTTTCCTTAAAATCTATATTCGGTTAGGAATCGACTCTTCACAATGGTATGATATTGTCCACTTTGAGCATAAGCTCTCGTGGCTTTGCTTTGGGCTTCCCAAAAGGCCTCACACCAATGGAGATGTATTCCTTACTTATAAATTGATGATCTTCCACTAAATTAACCAACGTGAGACTCACTCCCAATAATCTTCATCATGTTCTTCTAAGCAGGTATTGGGACTGAGGCTTAGCCAAATGACTCTTCAACGAGGATGGAATAACAAATCAAAGCTTCTTGTGGTGAGTTGATCACACTTCGTAATATGCTTGATTATTTCCTCTTCGAAAAGCGGAGCATATCACTGTATTAGTGTGTTTGGAAGTGGGTTTACTTTAGATGATCTATTCCTTTTAAATCTTAACAACAAACACTAAAAAAGAAGAAAATAGATTAATTTAAAAACTATTTTTGAAGAATTACTTTAGATATATTATTAAAAAATGACTTATAGTCGGGAACAAAAACATACTTGCAGTTAATAAAATCAGTTTTGAATATAATAAATTTAATTCTTGAGATTTTTTTTTTTTTTTTTTAAAAAGGTAAGATAAAAGTTTTTTTTTTCAAGAAGTGTATTAAGATATAATATTTGGAGAATATATTATAATAATTAGTTATGAAATATATCTTAGATATTCGTAATCAGTTGATATTTTTTTTTTATGATTTGATTAGTAGTATATTTTCTGTTTGATCGTGGATTTTCCTTTATGATATTTCCGGTAGTTAAGTATATTTTCCTTATTTTTAGGTATTAGTTGGTAGCCTATATGTTGTTTAGACGTGCACTTTTGATTTTTCTTATTAGTTGGTAGCTTGTATCCTGTTGATTTTTCTTTATGATACTAGGTATTAGTTGGTAGCTTCTATCCCGTTGATTTTTCTTTATAATACTAGGTATTAGTTGGTAGCTTGTATTTTGTTTAAACGGCCCTTGGCACTTTTGATCTCAATTCTATTTCTTGAACGATAAGAGTGGTACTTTTATCTCAGGTTGAGGATTTGTCAGCTAGGCAGGTGTATGAAAAACTTCTGGAGGCAGTGCAGCCTTGACCTCGACTCTGCTTAATAGCTGTTGTCTCATTGTAGTGATAACAATGTTAGTTTTTGTATTATTTAAAAAATCTGTTGTAGGAGATTTCGTACCTGATATTGGTTTTACTTTGGATGAATTATATATATATTTGCTATATGCAAAAGTTATAATTTCAATTTGTATTTGTTTTTACAAAATGTCTAATTCTTGGTAATTATCTATATTAATAATATTAATTGATGTACTAGGTGTTATTATTTTTGTACATTTATAAATATTTTTTTTAATAATATATTTCTAATACGTTCTCTCTAAATCATATTAGATTTGATTATTTGTATCTATTATTTATTTTTTTCCCATTCAAATTTACAAATCCTAATTTACAAATCCTTTATGAAATAAGCTTAAAATGATAAGCTTGTTGATTTCAATTTTACAAATATAATTAGTTTCTACTACTTAGTTCTATATTTTTTCTCCCAATAAGTCCTTTGATAGATTTCTGAGTCGGGAATAGGCTTATTCGGCGCTATATCACAATTCATTCATTTTTGGAGTTATTCACGGAAGGTGGCAGCAGGAGTTCCAATTCATCCTGATCCGATCCGAAGATTTTATCAAATCATAAAGCAAATTTACAATTTACAATTTGGCACGGATGGAAACTCATCAAACTATAAGAATAAAATTCTAACTTTATAAACACGGACCGGAACCAAATTTACAATTTGGTATGTGTTCCTCATTCTACAAAACGCAAACCGACAAATATCGTAGAAAAAAAAAGTATTCTCCAGAACTATCTAAAACTAGTCGGTACGCCCATACACGATCGAATCGATATCAACATTTTACAAAGTATGACTTAAATATCTAATAGATTAGCCACCAAGAAGGAAAACAGAGCAATGGGGCCACAAGATTCAGCAGTGCACAAGGTAAAAAAAACCTGCAATGGCTTACAACTTGGTCCTATGTCCCATAATACGCAGCAGAGCAGTGTGATGGCAGTTCCCAAAGTTTCTCCAATTATTTGACTCCTTCAGACTTGCAAAGGTTGGTGGAAAGCAACTTCTCCAACTCCACTAATCTGAAAAGATTCACCCAAATTTATGATCAAATCAACCCATTTTCTTTGAAACCAAGGAGTGATTTATCAAAAAAAAAAAAAAAAAAAAAAAAAAAAAAAAAAAAAAAAAAAAAAAAAAAAAA